ATCTGGTGAATTCAAATGGAAGAAAAACAATAGTAGAACTCAGGGCTAGGTTTAATAGTGAAAGCAAGATCATTTTCACACGCACTTCAATTTGCTAGGAAACATAAAGATTCTGACTCTGGAGCAATGGAAGAAGGTCATGTGGTCTGATGAGTCCAGATTTACCCTGTTCCGGAGCGAGGGGCGTATCAGGGTAAGAAGAGAGGTAGATGAAGTGATGCACTTATCATGCCTAGTGCCTACTGTACAAGCGTATGGGGGCAGTGCTATGATCTGGGGTTGCTGCAGTTGGTCAGGTCTAGGTTCAGCGAAAGTATATGCTCCACGAATGAGGCCAGCTGAGTACCTTGCTATACTGAATAACCAGGTTATTCCATCAATGGGTTTTTTCTTCCCTGATGAAGCGGGCATATTCCAGGATTCATCGGGCTCAAATTGTGAAAAAATGGTTCTGGGAGCATGAGACATCATTTTGACAAAAGGATTCGCCACCACAGAATCCTGACCTTAACCCCACTGAGAATTAATGAAAAAAAAAAATGCAACACTGGATGGAAATAAATATTTTGACATTGCAGAAGCTTATCAAAACAATGCCACAGGGTGTCTAATCAAAGCTAAAGGCGGTCCAACGAAATATTAGACTGTGACCTTTTTTTTGGTGGCCAAGCAGTGTAGCATAAATAAAATATACAATGTCCTTGATATTTAAAGACTAGCATTAGAAAAAAGGTTGAACAAGGAAGAGGGCAGGGGGTTCTACACCAACCACAAAGCAGTAAACTCACAATAATTACCTATCGTAGCCAGAAAACAGCTTAAGTGTTTCTATTAAAACTCAAATGTGCCTGTTTAATGCAGAATCAGTGAAGAAATGCAGGTTGTTCTCAGTGTTATGGCAGGAAAAGCAGATAATATTCCCGGAACACTCAAGAAGATAACATTTTAGATACCTCGGTACTTCCACTGCTACACTAGGAATAATTCATTAGTGGAAATTTGATACTATGTAGTATAAAAGTCAAAGTGTTAATCGCTGGTAGGTAAGCGTAGTTAACTAGTGAGTGTAAATAACTGCTAGTAAGTTCCAGATATCCGTTTAGCTAGTCTGTAGAAGTGAAGCTGGGTCTAGTTTCCGTTAGCCTGTTGCCGGTTTTTATATTATGATTTATTAATTGGTTTAACTCACCTCGAGTCTGTTGACGTCAGCTGAAGTTAACTGGGCCGTTCATGCAGAGATGCGT